AATGGTTATGTAATCTAAATCAGATTAAACTTTGAGAGTACTGTGATTTTAGCCAGAAGAGAGGTATGGTCTTCTGAATAGAACTCAACTATATAAAGACGGGAACATTGCTGCCATCTTGCCACTTCAGATTAGCGTTGGGGACGACAAAGTAACACAATGGAAGGGAGAGCTCAGACAGTATCTCCCAAAATAGCCTGGTCTATTTTTACTATCTTAGTGAGCCTGAATAGGGCTATTTCTGAAGCCCTACTTTTCTTACCATCAAATTAAATAACCCATTACATTCTCTTCTTTTTGAGAAGTCAGTTTGAGCTGTATTTTATTTTGCCTCACACAATAGAGAAAAATAAATAAAATACATTGTTTGCATCACTTGTTTTACACCTATTATCTTGTACTATTTTGTTCTTGGTTAAATTATAACTCTGAATTTAGATGACACTAATCATCAGGCAATGTTTGTGTGCCTATCAACTCCTACCTTAAAATTATTCATATTTGTTATTTTTACGTATATGATTTCTTCTTCCTTATTTTATTTTTATCACTGTCTATTGAATTTTTGAGGCATAATGTATACAACAGTGAGTATAAATAGATGGAACTTATAGTGCAACAGAGAAACTACAAGAGTGTATACATAGTAGGTTTTTCCCTATAGATGGGGAGGTCAGGGAAGGCTTTCCTGGGTCAATGACACTGGTGTGAGAATATAACAAAGTGGAGGCAACTAAAGGAAAATATCAAAGTTGAAAAGACACCCTATGCCAAGCCACATATGCCAAGGTACCTGGTGGACAGCATAACGTGGCACATTCTATGAGCTGAAAAGGGGTAAGTAGAGCAAATAAAAGAATGTGAAACCTACTTCCTGTTTCATGTTAAGAGCAGTGATAAGGTGTGCAAGGCAGGACAAATACAGAAGGTGTCAGGAGTAATTACTCTGGTCACTACGCAGAGAAGAGGGGTAGAGGAGGAGGAAGCATGCTGATGGATGGATCACCATAGGTAGAACACCATCACTTTTATCCTCCAAAAGATGATGGAGGTTGGAGACAGACATAGAAACAATTGGACAGGATATATTTAACTTTATTATTACTCTGGTCTTGCTCTTCACTTTGTCTTTTAATAATAGAGCTATCTGGAAAACCTTGTAAGTTTAAACAATTTGACAAATATGCTATGAATACTATGAATTGGACATTGTGGTTTGAAACACTCAAATTTTGAACTCTGGAACTAAATTCTGAAAAGTCCCTACAGAGGCTTTAACATTAGCATGGCCCCTGGAGGGTAGAGGTCAGCTTAAATGTGTTTTGATTTTTCTAGTTTTTGGTCTGTAATTTTGGTAAGAAAACAGCTACATAAAACCAAAATGAAAGTATTATGTTTCATTTATTCATTCATTTGCAACAGTTCTTTGACCCTTCTCTCTCTCAGCTGTTATGCAGGGAACCAGCCTTATGTTCTGTATAAGAAGTGTCTAGTGGTGGTGTTCAGGAAATAGCAATTTTCCTATCTGGCGAGAGTGTGGGGATACACAGAACATGTGGTAGAGAGGATTGCCAGGCCAGAGACTTAAGAATGAACCGTATAGGGATGTGAGGTCAACAGGTTTGTCTACAAGGGGATTTGAACATGCAAATCTGGCAACAGAACAGCCTTCTGAAGAGATTACATCAGTGTTAATGAGACTTTGACTCTCACAGATGCTGAATGCAGAGTGAATGAGTCTGTAGGGATGGCTGGATAGAAAAGAGATAAAATACTTGGGTCAAGAGAGATTTAAAAGGTTCTTCCTTGGGGCTTTGGGCAGATGGTGATGTTGTCACTGATCCATCTGGGGAGATGATAACATTAAGGATATAGTTTAGACATATTCAATTTGAGGCACTTGGAAGTGTTTAGGAATCTCTAATTTCAAAACAACTCTAGCCTCAAATGAGAGAAGTATTGGAAGCTCTAGTATTATCATAATATTTGATGTTCTGAAATATCTGAAGTTTAAGTGTGTATATAGTATGATGCTGTTTGGCAGTAATTAAAAGGGGGAAAGTTTTAAGAACAGCATTATTATTGAAATAAAAAAACTACATATAGGCTAAGTAGTAAGAAGTAAAAGAGTAGCTTTTGGATATAGCAATGATAATATTTTGGATATGTTTATGAGAAAAATTCAATTATGTTAAGGAATGTGTGACCCCAAAATGCAAATGGGTATGCTGAGGGGTGATCGAAAGGAAAGCATCAGGAGAGAGTGGACACAGGCTGCTCTGTCAAAATAGTGATGGGAGAGAGAAAAAGGAAGACAAAATTTATACACAAAGCAGTTTCCTCCTTTTCTTTGTAATAACATCAGGTGAAACTTCTCCACATGTGCAGAATGAATGAATGGAATAATATAATTCATGAGAGAGTAAGATATTAAAGAAGTCATTTGCATAGTTTATGAAACTGGTTAAAAACAGGAGGAAGAATAAAAATGAAGGGGCTGGTCTGAGAGATGAACACACACTGTTGACTAAGAAAGCAAGACAACACACGAAGGTAAATAGAGATTGAAGAATAAATCTGAAGCAGTCCAAAGTTCCTTTCCTAAATCAGAAAGAGAGGGAAAGACATAAAAAGATTGCATTCATCTGGGGAACATAAAGTAACAAAATAGGAGACAGAAACCCAAGAGTGGCAGAGATTAGTACCAGGAATTTTGCTCCATGGCTTGGAGGCCAGCCGCACACTCTAGGGGTAAAGGCAGCTCAGACAGAGAAGGGAGCACCAAATAAAGGATATTGGGAAGATCCGCCCAGGATGGGAGATGCATGCTTAAATAGATTATAGACCGAATATGATTGCCACTCAATTCCTCTTTTGCAAACCACAGCACCCAAAAGGAGAGAAAGAACAAAAGGGAATGCCCTGCCACAGAGGCAGGGGGGATGGGGGGATGGGGGTTGGAAGGGATACTGGGATTAGGGGTGGTGGAGAATGGGTACTGGTGGAGGGACGGGTACTCAATCATTGTATAACTGAAACCCAAGCATAAAAATTTGTAAGTCTACAACTGTACCTCATGGTGTTTCACTAATAAAAATAAAAATAAATTTTTTTTTAAAAAGTTCCTTTCCTAGGGAATGCTTTTGAAGTACTGAAAAAAAAGATTAATTTTCTTTTTGCCAACAGGCTATGTTACTGCAAGTTGATTAATCAAGACATGAGGTAGAACTAGAAATGCTTTGTCTGAGGAAATGGAAGGACTTCTGAACCAACTGCAGGTCAACCACTCATGTTCCCACATGATGGTCTAATCTGATGTTGAGCCCCAAAGAGCGGTCAGTCACACACCCTGGATTTAATTAGATTTAGCCAGATTTACTTTTGTCATCTGGTATTCCTTTCTTTAGAATAATTTCTATGCAATTACCTAAACAGCACAGACTGAAGGTGACACAAATTCAGTAGACATCTAGTCTATGTTAATTCTAAGTAGAAAAATGGCCAGTCTACCTATAATTACATCCATGACTCCAAACTATCCAATTGTATTGCTTTCTATATTCAGTGAAAGCTGCTCAGACATGAGTCCCCAGTTTTCAGTTTCCTAAGATGATCGCAGAAGGCATACCCTGAAGACTGTGTGTGTGAAGCAGTTGCTCATACTTAGAGATCATTTAAGTCCTCTCTTTATTTTCAAATTACTCCATTACTATACACATAAAGAAATCAAAGTCCTGGAGAATCAATCCAAGTCATGACTTGGATTTTATATTAAAATTAACACTTAAAGCCCCCAATATTCTCACCTCTTACTGAAAGTAGCCGAATTGCTAAAACACATCACAGCTTTCTTGTTTCATGTACTCTTCATTAATAGATTGATCCAGGTGTGGCAATTTGTGTTGATTAAGCCACATCCATTTGCGAATCACCTGTATCCATGTCCACTTCTTTAGACCTCAGTGAATAACTTTCACAAATGGGCATGAAAGAGCTAAAAGGGATGTGCTTCTAGGAGAAACACATGTAAGGGGCAATTGTTTTCTTCTCACATGAAACAAACAAACCCCAGCACCACATTGCCTTCTGCGTAATCATCTGCTCTTATACTAACTATTTTCATCCCGATTCATGTGTCAGTGTAGAATGTTGTGAGCACAAAAGTCAAAAGGCCCAGAATATAGGCCAAGTTTCCTCTAGGGAGAGGGAAGATCACCTTATGTATAAGAGAAATTTGTCTTTTATATTATTATTCCTCATTTTGAGGGAAAACAAAACCTATTGGATACCTCTCTACCTTAATCTCATCTAATAAGAAGGGAATGTGCTTTAACCAAGGATATTTCTTTTTAAAGAAAAATTCTTTCAGTACTGAAAACTTTTTTAATACTTTTAAGTTTGCACATATCAACAATCACTTGGTAACACAATTTGGGAACAAGAGGCTCAAAGGCATGAAAACCCAGGCTTTGCATGACTCCGACTGTATACCCTTAACTAAGGTTTTCAATCCTTTAAGACCCATAGCTGTTTTTTTGAAAATCACTGGTCTAATTGAGCCTAGCATCTTCTCTTTTCTTTGTTTCTGGGCCACACCTAACAGTGCTCAAGGATTATCCCATAGGATGCTGGAGATTGAACCAGGGTTGGGAGCATGCAAGGCAAGCCCCTTGCCAACTATATCATCACTATGGTCCAGAGCCTCACTTCTCACCCTCTGGGCAGCGGCTTTTCCCCTAGAGTAACTGAATGTGGGTCATGAATCTGATGTGTTTTGGTAGTGCTCATGTTTTGGCAGTGCTCACCCATGTTTTATTTCTCAAGCACTCATGATTCATGTTGTGAGCGGAAAAAAATTGGTGTAGGATTCTCCAGCATGAATGCTCAGTGTGACTGTCAGTGCAGTTACTAAGCACAAAGAATCAGGTTAAATGTGGTCTACTGGGAAATCTACCAATGATCCTCTGAGGCATTTGCTCACAGTGCTGTCGGGTACATACATTTTCTCCAGGTCTCCAAATCCTGAAAATGCTCCTTTGGGGATGACTCGAAGTTTGGTGAGGACAAATCTCCTGGAAAAAAAGGAGTGGAGGAGGCATAAAATATCACACATACCATTCATTTTTGTACATAATTGAGTGACTAATGTTTAATATCAGTTAAAAGTCAACGCAGACTTGCTATTCTATTATTAATTGAATCATCTTATATGATTCTTTTAGTCTCCTCACAATACAGTGTTTTTGTTTTATTGCATTATTGTTGCCCCTGTTTGCATAAGGAAAGTGAATTTCAGGGACATCAGAAAGCTTGCTGCTGGTGTCACATGATTGATATGTGACAAAGTTGAGATGGGAACCTTCTTGTCACCATTTTCCCAAATTGCTTCCCACAACCCTGTGTGAAGCTCCTCTCTTTCAACCCAACACCCAGAATCTCCTTCCTTCTTATCTGTAGTTGACTTTGCCAATTTCAGAGAACATGAGCCGATTTGAAAAGAAGTTCTGCATGTTCTCACATGGTTCAGAGTCAACAGACACCTGCTTCCCTCTTATGATCCCTCCAGGGTGGACTGCCCCTCTAAGAGCAGCCTTCCACTCATCCCCATCCTCTTTCTTCTAGTAGAGGTAGCTGCTACTACAATTTTCCTTTCTTTTGATTCATCAACTTGAACATTTCATTCATCAAGTTTTGCTTTTTTTATCACAGCTTTCTGTCAATATACAAATAGACCATCACATCACTTTCCCTATCTAAAAAATTCTAGCTTTAAACTCACCAGTTTCAATTTTTTCCAGTGTAAGGATATATATATTATGTATATATAATTAAAATTCATATAATATTATATATTATATAATACATAATATATAATATATTATATAATATGTATTATATAATATGTATTATATAATATGTATTATATATTATATAATACATAATATAATATGTAATATATGATATATGTTCTCCCCTTTGCTCATCCTAAACTTAACACACTGATTATCCACCATTCTTTGGGAATATCAGATTCCTTCTTGCCTAATGTTTATGAATTATCAGTTCTCTTTGCCTAGAAGATTCCTCTCCCACATACCCACTTGACTGACTTTTTCAGCTGGCAACTCAAATGTTATATTTCCTTAACCATCCTATTTAAAAATGACAATTTTTGCAACCTGGCCTGTGGCCCCTTTTCCTACTCTATTTTAGGGTATTCACAGATGAATGTAAATTCATATATGTATTTATGAAATCATCTCTTCTGTATTGCTAGAATGAGCTGTATGAAGGCAGAAATGTTCACCTGATTTGCCAACTATTACATATTAAATATCTGGGTCAGTGTTAGGTTTGTTCAAAGCTCTCAAAAATGTTTCTTGAATGATTGCAATGCATGGAACAATCTGAGGGTGGACTTTAAATAACATGTTTTCCTCTGGATTTCTCTTGATTCTGTAATTGATTAGTAGTCATCTGGTCTTCCTACCATTTATCAAATAATTAACTATGTGGTCAGGAAAGGTTTCCTAAACTTTCCATGGTCTGGTCTTTACTTTTGCTTGTTTTTCATTTGACTTATTTGTAACAGCCAGCCCTATGAAAGAGAATCCTAGTTGTTTTTCTCATTCTAGTTTAGATACTTGAGAAAGTAAATTAAGAAATCTTGTAGCCACCAAAAAAATAGTTGTTAAAACATTGGTGTCATAACTAAAATATTGCATTATATTTGTAGAATTAAAAATTTAAAAACTTGGAGTTGGAGCAATAGTACAGTGAATAGGGCATTTGCCTTGCATGCAGCTGACCTGGGTTAGATTCCCAGCATCTCATATGGTCCCCTGAGCACTGCCAGGAGTAATTCCTGAGTGCAAAATCAGGAGTAAACCCCTGCGCATCACCGGGTGTGACCCCAAAAGCAAAAAATAAATAAACATTTAAAAACCCCAAGATATGAAAAATTAAAGATTTTGGAAGAAGTGGGTGAATTTTGAGCCTAAGCTTTACTTAAAGCAGTCTCCACAAATATTCAAATAAAATTTTGCACTAGACCACCAATTGGTCAAAAACTTAAAGTACAACTACAATATTTTTGGATTAGATATAATGAATATCTTATAGCATTAAATTCTAGAACCCAATACGAAAAAAGTCAAGGTTAATTGTACTTAAGTTTATCATAAGAATGATTAAAGTGAACTAGTAAAGTAAAAACATTAATCAATGAGATACACAAATAGTGGAGTTGGTTCAGCAATAGCAGTAGTCAAATTTTATATAAAATTCAATCCCTCTATCTATGTAAAGTGGTTTCTATCTTTTAACAGTACTTTTTAGCAATATTTTTCTGAAGACTGAGACTATTGACTTCCATTTCCCCAAATATTACTAACTAGATAAGATGAAAATATTGCCAATAAAAATTACCTGGAATATTGTTAAAACATAATATTGTTTTAAATTCATAGCCAAATTAATGAGAAAGTGTAAGATATCCCCAGGTGTCCAAAGTAAAGTAACATAATACCAGCAGGAATCCTGAGTCATGAATAAAACCAAAATTCTGAGACTAAACTGAAGTCATAGTACTCTTGGGAGGAGTTTTTGACTTGAAAGTTTAGCAATTTATGTCTTGATAGCTAACATGAGGTGAGATGTAGAAATTGAAAGCATACTACTATTTCTACCTGACTAATATATTTTCTACAAAGAAAGATAGAGAAAATGAAACAAGACAATTCTCAATGAAATGACATCTTTTCCTCCAGAATTATGTAAGACATAAGTCCTCAAATTTAGAAATTTTGACAAGTCCCAGAAAAGGAAATAAAATAAGAACATTGCCAGATACCTGTCAATTAAAAATGTAAAGTCATAAAAGAAAAATTTTAAATGCAAATAGAAAAGTAATCATAAATCTCTATAAAAATAACAGCTAATTTTGAATCCTATACCCCAAAATAATCATTTAGATGTGAGAGTAAACAAGGCACACTTTTTTGTACAAGTTTAATTAGCCACTAACAAAGTTTTTCAAAAAATTTCTTTAGAGAATAAGAAATTTTAATTCAGCAAAGGCTCAAGAAATAGGAAGCAATGGTGCACAAAGAAACACTAAAATATATTGACCAATAATCAGGACACAGAGGAAATTTGCATCAAACAAATCCTTTTATGCTGTAAATCAGTAAGAGAACAAAATTAATCCTTCCAACCATGAAAAATGTCTTTTGGGAAAAAAAGAATGAACCAAAATCCACCCTTTTATATTATACATTGGTAAAAGTAAAGGTAAAGTAAAGGCTCTCCCGTTGATCATCAATTTGCTCGAGCGGGCCCAGTAACGTCTCCATTGGAGACTTTGTTGTTACTGTGTCTGGCATATCGAATACTCTCGGTAGCTTGCCGGGCTCTCCGAGAGGGGCGGAGGAATCGAACTAGGATCGGCCATGTTGGCTGCGTGTAAGGCAAATGCCCTACCTCTGTGCTATCGCTCCATTATACATTGGTAAAAGAATAAATTTTATTATTCATAACTTATTTTGAAAATAAATATAAAAGTTATAATATGTAGTTAAATTGTTACACACAGCAAACCAAACTTCAAACACAAGCAACTGGTAACATAAAAGAATTATATAATAGTAAACTATAAAGTCAGAATTTCTCTATTCCATTCATGGCTATAACTTAAAGCAATTGAAGCAAACTAAAAGCAATTTAATAAGAAGCATTGTGATAAAATATGGGTCTGTTGATAGCAATGCTTTGAAAGATTAATATTGAACTAGAAATTACAGTCAGATATAAGGATATATTTCATCATAAGTTTATTGATAAGCTCAATGAGTTTTATTATTGAAAGTACTTACTCTGAGAGCTTTAAGGACTCTTGACATCTTTAACATTAAACTGATCATTAGAAAAAATACATTTATTTGAACATTTCCTAAAGAAAACTATTACTTAAATTGCAAAATCTAGTAATCACCAAAGGCTTATTTTAACCAGCAACTTTCTGATAGTTAAATATGACCTTACTGAATTAACAAAAATTACTTGTAAAAATACATTATTTGCTTTAAATCAGAAACACAGGTTAAAGCATTAGTCTTGAAATATCATTTTAGAATTAAAGGAAATAAGGGTCTAATAGTTTAATTAATAAATGCATTGGGAAGTCTACATTGGCCTTTAAAGAAAAACTTAAAATGAACTTAAAAAAAAGGACTAGAAGAGTACACCAAGTAGGGTCTTTGCCTTGCTTGTGGTCAATCTAATTTCATTCCCAGCACAATATGTGGTCCACTGAGCCTGTCAAGTGTGACCCCTTGAATACTGTTAGGAGGGGCCTCAAAGTAAAATAAATAAAATTCTAAGTTACATATTAAAAAATTAGTAACAGTAGAGTTAATGATAACAACTGAAACTATAAGAAGAATCAACAAAATCAATTATTTTTTTTAAAAAACTATTATTTCCAGATAACAAGTTTGCCTACACAAAGAGCATCCATACTTTAAGCAATCACTGTTAATCATTAGGAGAATTAAAGGAAATCTGTCTGTGAGATAAAAGAAAAATATCAACTTAATAAATGTACAGTAGTACTTAGAGATATAAAACATTCTGAACAACTTTATAGCATCAAACTTGAAAATTCAGTTTTCACTGAAATATGCTGAATCATGGAGATAAAGAAGAATATATCTAAACCTATTAACAAATTGGGTTGGTAGCTGAAAAGTACAAGATCAGCATTGTATGGTTTGAAAAGTAAACTCAACTTTTTTTTAAAGTAGCAGAAAATTCCAAGCTCATATGAACAATTCCAGAGATTAGTAAATGATCTTCAAGCAGTGTAGTTTATGGCTAGTGGAACAATAATATCAAAACTAAACAATGATACAATAGAAAACTTTTGGGCAGTTTTACTGCTTAATAAACTTGAAATAACATAACAATGATGTGTCTCCAATAGGGTAGACTTTAAAATATGCATCCTTATAGTTTTGGTGTGCCATAGAATTCAAGTTTTTAAATACTGAAAACCCCTGTTACGTGAAAATTT